CACACACCTGGACTCAGTCTAGCTCTGCCCAATCAGGAGGTCAGAGGTCACAGAGCTCTGCGTCCAGATAAAGAAAGGGTGGGGGATTTCTCCCTGGAGATCAATAAAGTAATAAAGTATATTCGTATTAGTGGAGATTTACCTTCAGAGTCCTGCTGGGGGCTTCAGGGGCGATAAAACAACATTAATCCAACAATAAACACACTTCTCCTCTACAGCAGAAAGCCAGAACTAAAGCTGAGCTCCCACTGCCCTATTTCAGACCCAAATGTGTCATCTGTGGTGTTCTGGGGCTCTAAACTATTCAAATACAGAATCTTCACATATTTCTGCTTTGTTTAGGTATTTAAAGTTACAAAAATAAAGAGATATTTTCCATTAAGTCAATTGGAATCAGTGTTATTTTCACAGGTGGTTTACCCTCCCAGCTCAGGGGGTCTGTGTGGGACTTTGGTCACTGACCTGAGGCCAATAATTATTAAAGACAATAATAATTGTCTGTTTTTGGGGTTAAAGGGCGCGTTTGGCCGTTTCCAGTCGGTTCCTTCTGACCCCGGTTTGCTGGGGTTTCCTCCTCACTAAGTCGGGGTTCCTCAGGGTTCTGTGCTGGTTTCCCTTTAGAACCGTTTCTATTAGATACTGGTTCTGGTTCTGATGGGCTTTCCCTGGTTAAAAGGGAGGAGTTCTCCCCACAGTCTCCCTGGGGGTGGAGACGATATGACGCTATCTGTGGGACTTCTAAGCTTTAACTGGCTATTTATGCACAGACTTACTCTTATGATTAGGACTGTATCTGAAGCAGCAGAAATAATTTCTGTTGGCATTTAACGTTAAAATTTAACTGAATACTTCATGGACAGACTTGTATTGGTTTTGATTGTGACTGAAGGGATTTGACTTCTTTTGAACTCTAATTCAACTGAATATATCTTTTGTGTTCTTTCCATTTTACTCCATCCTGTTTTTTATTTCTACATTCAGCACTTCGCCGTTTTCTAAAATGTTTCCTGAACTAAACTAAACCTGCTTTGGGTCTGGCCTCTACTCTGAGGTGGCTCCATCCATCCGGCTCCTAATGGGACCGTCTGGGTCTCTGTAGAAAAACCCGACCTGCTCATCTGACAGATTTATGGCTCAATTTAACACCTGGACACCCCCTGCCTCTGTAATAACAGAGCAGATTCATCACTTTCTGCCTCACGGACCCCGGGG